AATTAAAAAATAATAAAAAATGAGAATTATAAAATTTTTTATTTTAAGTATGCCAAAAACCATTTGCTCTTTATATATTGCAAAAGAAAAACTTTCAATTGTTGCTTATTTAAAAGAAACATCTTTAAGAGATGCTAAAAAAAAAATATGGAATTCATTATTCACAAATATCAAGATAGCGTAAAAATAAATCAATTTTATTAGAAGCTAATCCCAATAGTTGTCATATTGGTACTTATATAAAACCTTTTTATTCAAATATTGAAGAAGACTTAATTAAATGGATTGAAATTTTACGTCAAGATGGAATTGCCGTTAGCCTACTTATGAATCAACAAAAAATGAAATTGCTTGTTAATAAAAATTCATCAAATAATAAAAAATTATTCATTGCATCCTGGGGTTGGCTTAATTGTTTTATGAATCGATACAATCTTTCTATTCGTTAAAAAACAAAAAATTGGACAAAAGTTACCTATAGATCTTTCTTTAAAATTAGAATCATTTTATGAATTTATTGAAAAACATAAACAAAATATCAATATTACTTATCGCAAATCGCAAATATAGATGAGACTCCAATTTTTTTTAACATGATTGGTAATTTAACAGTTGAAAAGAAAGGTACAAAAACCATTCATATTCGTACTACTGAAAATGATAAGAATTGATTCACTTGTGTTTTAACAATTCTTGCTGATAGAACAAAACTCACACCTATGGTTATTTTTAAAGGTAAAAAACTTCCAACAAATCTTCCATCCAATGTAGTAGTTAAAATGCAAGAAAAGGATTGGATAAATGAAGATTTAATGAAAGTTGAGTTTCAAGAGATATGGGAAAAACATGTTAAATCTGATAAAAGATCTTTATTAGTATTTGATAGTTTTGAAGGACATAAAACAGAATTTATAAAAGAAAAATATAAACAGATGAATATTGATTTAGCTATTATATCTGACGGTTTTACATCACTTGTTCAACCATTAGATATTTGTCTTAATAAGCCTTTTAAGGATCGAATGCGTAAAAAATAGCAAAATTGGATGGCTAATAAGGAATATTCTTTTACTAAAGGTGGAAATTTACAAAGGCTAGGTTATGATTTAATTTGTAAATGGATTTTAGAAGTTTGGGATAATATTTCTATAGAAACAGTTTGCAATAGTTTTAAAAAAATGTAAAATTGTTAAAGATGTATAACTACTGTATTTTAATTTTAAAATATAAATTTATTTTAATAAAATATAAACTAATAATAGAAAAAATAACGTAATAGTAAAAAAAATAATAAATGATCTGTCAATCGTTAAGTCTGATCACGAATCAGTAAAACATTCTATTTTTTTAGGGTTTAGAGGTGTTGTTTAAATTCAATGAAATACGGTAATCCATTACTTATTGATAGTAATTCTTTAATTTTTCAAATAGAAAATCATCATATGGCTTTGCTTTCTCAATCATTCAATGATCGATTTATAGAACAATTTCTTCATTCTAAAGAAGATTTACTTAACAATTTAACTATTTATTGCTATGATGCAAATATTCATAAAAAATGGAAAGATCGACAACTTAGTAATACAATACTAATAGATTTTATTAAGCTTGATTTACATTTAATAGAAGCATATATTAAGGCAATGGAAAAATTTGCATCTTTTCCAAAATTTCAGCAGTATCTTTAATATAATGTTATTCCTTTAATAGCTGATTGGCCAGGTCAAATATATCCTAGAAAAGCAATAACTATGCAATAACTGCAATTAAAAAAGAATAATTAAACAGAAATTCCAGAATGTGTTAATTCTTTTATTCCAATTATGAAACCTTTACATGTATCTTTCAATAGTCGTGAAACTGTTATTTTATTATTTTTTAATTCTGCATACAAACATATTTTTGGAACAAAAAAAAACTTGCTAACAAACCTCATCCTTAGAGAATTAATCTTTTATTACAATTAATTTCAAATGCTTGGAAAAATATTGCTTCACATGTTAAGGAAAAAATTGAATTATCTTATTCTAAAGATGTTGAATATCTTACACTTAAAACTCTTTTAGATGATACTATTCCTTTAGTTTTAAATATTTATGCAACAATTT